CAGTGCTCAACTGGTTTGAATACTACATAAAGAACAGGGATTTCTTTGTTTCAGTCGGAAACTTCTCATCAGAGAGGTCAAAGGTCACATGTGGGGTACCCCAAGGTTCAGTCCTAGGACCCCTTCTTTTCAATATCTACATGCTCCCACTGGCTCAGGTTATAACAGGAAATAAGATCAGCTACCATAACTACGATACACAGCTCTACATCATGATGTCACCAGGTGACCTTTGACCCCATCCAATCACTGAACAGATGCTTAGAACAGATAAATGTGTGGATGAGCCAAAACTTTCTCCAGCTGAACAGAAACAAACTGAAATTATTATCTTTGGACCTAAAGAGGAGCGAACTAGAATCAATGCTCAGCTTCAGTTATTACAACTGAAAACCAGCGATCAGCCCGAAACCTGGGAGTAGTGATGGACTCTGACCTGAACCTTCAGAGCCACATCAAGACAGTCACAAAGTCGGCCTTCTATCACCTGAAGGACATTTCCAGGATTAGAGGACTGATGTCTCAGCAGGATCTAGAGAAACTCATCCATGCGTTTATCTTTAGCTGCATTGATTACTGCAACAGCGTCTTCACAGGTCTGCCTAACAAATCAATCAAACAGCTGCAGCTGATCCAGAACGCTGCTGCTCACGTTCTGACTAAAACTAGGAAGATGGAGCACATAACACCAGTTTTAAAGTCCCTTCACTGGCCCCCTGTAGCTCGAAAATAGACTTTAAAATACTGTTGTTAGTTTATAAATCACTGAACGGTTTAGCACTACAATACCTTAAAGATATGTTATTGCTGTACCAACCGTCTAGACCCCTCAGATCTTCTAGTTCTGGTTCTGCTCTGCATTCCCAGAACCAGAACCAAACGAGGAGAAGCAGCATTCAGTTTCTATAAACCACAAATTTGGAACAAGCTTCCAGAAAACTGTAAAACAGCTGAAACACTGAGAGCCTTTAAATCTCAACTTAAAACCCACCTGGTTAGAGCTGCTTATGGCTAAATGAGGGTTAGGGTTACCTGTATGGTAGCCTGTATGCTACCATACATGTATGCCTGTAGCCTACATGTATGTATGGTAGCCCTTTAGGCTACCATACAGGTAACCCTAACCCCCGGAACATGCCTGTATGGTAGCCTAAAGGGCTACCATACAGGCATGTTCAGCCCTGCCATGATGAAAAACTGCGCACTGCTCTGAGTGAAATGGAGGAGTTAGAAATTATTCGTAAATCACAAAGTGAATACTCCTCTCCTCTGGTTCTGGTTCTTAAGCCTAATGGAGATCTCTGCATCTGCAATGATTTCAGATGGTTAAATGCGCAAACCGTTAAAGACGCGCATCCATTGCCTCATCAAACAGATGCCCTTGGTGGGAATGTATTCTTTTCCACCATGGACCTGACTTCAGGGTTCTATAATGTGAGACTACACGAGGATGACCAAAGGTTTACTGCCTTTTCGTCTCCTTTTGGCCTGCATGAGTACAATAGGAGCCTCAAGGCTTGACCAACAGCCCCGCGACTTTCATGCGGATGATGATGATGTCTATTTGTGGGGAACAAAATTTCACTAGCTTGCTGTGTTATTTGGATCAAGGTACTTTACATAATTAAAGATAAAATAAAAAATAAGAACAGCATGTGACATTGAATAAACAGTAAGAGAGAGAAAGAGATAAAAAGATAAAAACATACTTTGGTTACAGAATTTAAGCGCCTGTCGTCGCCGGACTCCGCATTCCGTTTAACACGGGTATTATCCAGGCCCCGTCGCCTGACAGGAAGGAATTTACAGATTTTTTGTCAAAACACGATTTAAAGGAAATTAATAAATAGATAAAAAGTAAAGATAAAAACATTAAAAACATCGAAGACATCAAAACCCGCACTCTAACCCTCATCCACAAGACGTATCCTGTGCACAAGATCTGTAGCTTCCCCACAATCCATTTTATGCTGAGAAAAGATGTATTCATGCTGCCCTAGAGGCTCCCTGGAGCTTTTTCAAAAATGTTTGAAAATGGAAAAAGATGGGGTGAGAAATATATTTGATGTTTTAATATGGTTTCTGTAGGGAGACAAACATGACACAATCATTCTTAACGTTTTCCAATGCTGTAAAAACGTGTAGAATAAATATAAATTTCAATATTTTCGTCAACAAAATTTGCATCATAACCTGTGACACGTTTCTTTCAGCTGGGCGGTGCGAGGCAGGGCTGTAAACAAACCGAGGGTGTGGGGGGCATGGAGAGCAAAGGGGAAGAGAAACAAAGCTGAGGAGAGATTCTACAAATCTTGGACCGAATCGTTTGCATTCATTGCCGATGCGGAAGGATTACCTGAATGTTTGCGCTGTAGAGAGAAGCTGTCAAATAACAAACCGCACTTTCCGAACTATAGAGCGCACCTTACTATAAGCCGCCCCCACAAATTTTTGGGAAAAAAACATGGAAACGTGCATATATAAACTGCATGGTTCAAAGTGTGGAGAAAAGTAGCGGCTTATAGTCCGAAAAAGGGTAGAGTGCCTTCTCCGGGTCAGGGGGGTCGTCC